CCATATTGCGTTGATATTTTAGTTTCTAAGCTAGCCATGAGAATGTAAAATATTAATATATAAAAATGCTAATAACTCGCTTTCAAATTATAATATCATAAAATCCAAAAATAGAACACAGGTAATGTTCTTACTTTTGAGTTTCATAATAGGTTAATTCAATGTTATAATTAAGTTAACAAAACAAAATTGGAACTGCTGAATGTAATTTTCGGTATGTTATACGTTGCAGAAAATAGATGCAGGTAAAACGTATATTAGTTATTGTTATTTTTTAAGTCATAGTCATAATAATTTTGAATTTAATTTTACTTATTTTTAAATTATTAATGCAAATTTTGCCATTTCAGAGAATATGGATATTTGATGGTTTCTTAATGCATTCAATTCATAGCAATATAATCAATCTGTACACATACAATTTTCACCTAACCTTTGTACAGTTTTAATAAAATAATAATTTTTTAATTATATAATACATAACTGAGTTAAAGATGAAGTTTTGATTTACCTTGACACGCTGCAAGTATAAGAAAAGATCGTAGATATTTTTTTTATTGACATCTGAATCTGTAAGTGTTTTCTGTGTTTGTAAATTTGTAAGCATCGAGTTTATTAATAAGATACCAGTCATTGGTTTACATTCATCAAAATTTATTTTGAATCTGACTCTTTTTCCTTTATCAATTTTAGAATCCTAAAATATAAAAATGTATTATTTCTTAATATTGTCTCATACAACATTATTTTTATTTTTACAAAACTATACCGGGTATTGTGTTTCATTAAGATTTAAAGTTTTGAATGCTTCATCAAACCAAACGTTCACAAATTGAAGTATCTCATAGCCTCGTTTCCACATGCACAATGAGTAAACCAGACAACTAACTTTTCGCATATCAATCTCTTCTTCCGCTTGATTTATATCATTGGGTAACTGTTTTAAGGTAGATAATGCTGTACTTGTTATTGATACATGAGCACTCAATTTTGTCACCGGCATTAAACTTGCTAAACTAATTGCACTGTAGTAAGCATCACCTTCCTATAAATAATGTAATATGTTTATTATTTAGGTACTAATTGACTAATTTGTTAGCAAACTGTTTTGACTTTAAAATGGTGACAAAAAAAAAAAAAAATATTACCTTATACAACTTAAGTATTTTAATTAAACACGTGATGGAAGAATCCTGAATATCTTTAATTTGTTGACGGGCTTCTTCATCCTTAAATTCATTACAGTGGAGTATCATAAGGCAGTTTACACAATCCAAAATACAACATATATTAGAATGTTCATTTTGTTCTTCTTCATCATTATTACCAACTGATGATGAACTACAAGATGAATTACGGGTATCGTTGGATGTACCTGGAATATAATACTATCATTGTAATACTTTTTAAGATTTTCTAGTTAACACATTAATTTTATTACCGGAATCATCATTTGATTTATGCCTTTTAGGGGGCATATCATTTTCTTTGTCTATATTTTTCATATGTTCTTCTTTTTTTTTTAGCGCACTATATGCAGTTTTTAACATTGATAAAATAAGTTTGCAAGCACTATTAAAGTCTAGATGTTTTTCTGAATAAATTATCAGTTTACGAAAAGCACTTGGATTTATTTTGTAAAACGTATAAAATCTTCTAAGTGTTGTATGTTTGTCCGGTACTTTACTTCCAATAAAGTTATCAAAAATTAAATCAACAAGTAAAAGTCCGTTTTGTTTATCTTCACGCTAAACAAAATATAATTAACTATAAACTATAAAGTGAAAATTGCAATGGGAAACATATAAATTATTGAAAGATTTAGGTTTTAAATAATATTTTTACTTACAGCAAGTGCAAAAGCAATATCTCTTAAATCAACAATTTTTGTAAAGTTAATTTTATCCATGACGTCTGCATGAGTATCAATCTTTTTAATTTTCAATAAGAAATGTATAAAAGAACGCCGTACTTTTTCATTTTCATCATTCAATGTATGTTTCATTTTTGTAATAAGGAAAGGGTTCTTAAAGTAACTGTGGGATTTAACCTCCTCGAGTAACTGACAAAATCCATACAATAAAACCCTTCGTACTTCGAATACACTTTCATCAATCAAACGTATAAATATTTTAAAGCATTCAATTATTTGATCATCTTCAAAAGAATTCCAAAAATATCTCATACAGCTACAAATTCCCTGTAAGGATTTAAACCATTTTATATGAATAAAATTTATTGAATATGATAAAATTAATAAAATAATAATAGTATTCATTTTTTTCTTTAGAGCGCATTATGAAAGGTTAACTGCATACTCCAAGACAAAGCTCAGTTGTATTCGGTTTTTCTTAAATAATTCAAAATGTATGAATTTTAAATTTAATTTTCAAGAAATAGATATTAAAAAAGGTATAGATGAATTAAATATGCTATAAATATTGTTTTATAAAAATCTACTAAACAAATTTAATTTTTAGTGATCATAATTTGTAATTTTATTGCTGCACTATTTTACTAGAGGAATAAACTCAATTTTTTTTTTGCATATCCTATCTTTGAAGTTTGCACACACCTACATTAGTGCATCACAATAAAGTTAAATAATTTTGTATTTAATAAAATCATATGCTTAATAAATAAAATGATAAATATAAAACTATTTTACAAAGTACAATGTACATTAAAACTTAAAAGTAAAAAGTATATATATCTATTATTTAGTACATCATTAACATATTATATTTTCATACTTTTATAGCAGCTATTCGAACTTGAGGACAAACATCGACTAATAAATCCAAAAATGCATTTTGCTGTTTCATTAAAAACCTTGAAGATACTTCTCGACCTTCTCCTCTTTTTTCCAACGGATAAGCTCTTGCTAAAATGTCAGTAGCATTACATCTGACCACACTAAATTCACTCTATTCAGTTACCATAAATACAAAAAAATTGTTTTAAAAATAAAAACATGGTTTTACTCTAAAATTAAAATTGTAAAGTATACCGTTAATTGTCTCCAAATAACAGGAGCATATATCTTAGTTATGACTTTGCTGAACATTAAATGTTTTCTGTGATTTTGCATACTTTGCAAAAGAATTAAGGCATTACGATAAGCATAAAAAGCTAAACCTGTACGCCGTAGAGTCAGTGTTTTTGATATTAAGTCAAACATTTGTTCTTCAATAACCTGTAATGATATACTTACTGTAGAATTTATAATCAATATTAAGATGTTTATAAAAAAATTACTTCTCTTATGGCTGAATTAGAATTTATCCACGCCATAAAATATATTTCCCCATATGCTTCAGCTTCTGACTTGTTTGCTTTTGGTATATTTTGTCTAACTGTTTGATGAAATTTCTACACAAATAAATAAAATATATTAACATTACATTTATGTGATATGAGTTGAATTTAGTTATACATATAATAAGCAGTGGCATATGTATTTAAAAAATAAAAAGTAAAGGATATTCAAATAAATTTAATTTATTAGTTTTTGTACATAGAATGGCAAATAATCATAGAAACGACCATTTTTAAATTGATGAGTTGGTGGATAGTTTTATTGTAAATTAATTTCTCCTGTAAGAGAAAAACATATCGTCGGCCTAATTCGCAAAGGTCGTATGTCCAAAATTACAAATTGTTCAGGAGAAGAAAAAAACGTTTTACGGCCGTATTATTAATTAGAGATACGATGATTTCTAATTATCAATTTCATGGAGCATAATATTATGAAATCGGAAATTTGATTGTATCAACAGACGCAGTTTTTTTTTCTTTATTTTATGAGTAAATAATCCCAAAATGACAAAAAATGGAGATACGACTTTTGCGAATTAGGCCGACGATATATCATGCCACTACATATATAAGTATTGGTTTCAAATTATTTGTTACTTAAAATATTACGAGAAATAGTTGTTGACTACATGTAAATATATCTGCTATAGCCAATTTTCCTGTTTCAGTTTCCAAAAACAATGGGCACTTCATCAATGTTTTCAAATTGGGAACCAATAAATTCAATCCATTTATATTGGAAGATAAATTGCTCACAACTTTGCAAAATTCCCACACTATATTAGATAATACTTTCTACAACATTCAAATAAAAATAATACCAATTATTAAAAAACAAATTAAATATTTTAAATATTGTAGGTAGGTACCATAATCTTACCATATCCATTTTTTTTGTAGTCACTTTAATAGTATCAAATATATAATTAAAAGTGAAAACAAAATTTTCAGTTAAAACCAGGTCATAATTGTAGGTGTCAGATTTTTTTTGTGATGTTGAAAAAGTTACTAAATGCCAGAAACTACAGCACGTTTTTACTATATCTATTTTGAACTAACAAATATTATTAAAAAAATGTATTAAAATATGCAACAAAGTATATTATGATATTCAGAAAATATTCTAT